AAACCCCGCACTGACACCGGCACCGGTACCAGTTGTGCTGCCTTGTATTCAGCATAAAGGCTTTGCTGTCCCATTGTCCCAGTGTTCCCCAGCCCAAAGGCAGTGGAGAGGGTTAAGGATCCGTGCTGGGTGTCAGCCAGGGAACACAGCCAGGAAATTTCCGGATTCCAGGACTAAAAAAGCATCGGATTCACTCTCGAGGAGAAGGGATCAAAGGTTTGGAGCGGTTCGTGCTTGGAGGTCACTTTGGAGTCTTTGGTTGTCCGGGCACACAACGGACAAGGAATCTGGAGAGGGGCTTTGGACCAGGGCCTGTAGGGGCAGGCCAAGGGGAATGGCTTGAACCTGCCAGAGGGGAGACTGAGATGAGCTCTTAGGCAGAAGCTCTTCCCTGGGAGGGTGCTGAGGCGCTGGCACAGGGTGCCCAGAGAAGCTGTGGCTGCCCCATCCCTGGCAGTGTTCAAGGCCAGGTTGGACACAGGGGCTTGGAGCAAGCTGCTCTAGTGGAAGGGGTCCCTGCCCGTGGCAGGGGTTGGTGCTGGGTGAGCTTTAAGCTCCCCTCCAACACATCTCAATCCTATTGTCCCAGTTTGGGATGGCAAAGGATCGCTTCCAGCCGGAACCACACTTAGATCTCCCTTTGTTCCATCCCATGTGAAGGCAACGTGGCCATATGGCATCTCAGCATCTCTCAGGTGACACTGATGCTATTCAGGGGCTACCCTGCAGCTGCTTGTGATTTTCCCACTGCTCTGGACCAGCTCCAGAGGTGGAGCTGAAGGAAATTCCTTCCAGCTGCTCCAGGTGGGGCTGTGTTTTCCTTTTGGGGTTCACAAGGGGGAGGGGGGGGGTTGCCCTGGCATTAGGCACCTCTTGTCACTGCTCTTTGCGGCAAATATCCTGCATTATCCCATTAGTCCGAGCCATGCATTAACCTTTATGCTGTGGGTCCGTTGCATGGAAGAATGCTCTGCTGCCCACTACAACTCGGGGTGTTTCAGCAGGCTCTCGTCAGCTGCTCACACTTTAACTTTCAACCCAGTTAATAACCGTTTGGCTTAAACCCGTGTTAAACCCGCTGGGGACTTGCGTAACGCCCTTGAAACTGGAGATGCCGCTCGCACCCGCCTCAAACCTTTCCCATCGATCCCGTGTTTTATCCGGGAGGGTTAACATTGCTTTTTTTTTCCCTTGAGATTCCTGCTTTCCACGAGCCTGCCCGTGTTGGGGTTGGTTGGGTTTTTAAAGCTCGGTGTTACCTGGAGATGGGATGGATTCGCTCGCTTGGGATGCTGTGGGAGATCGCCAGCTCCATCCAGTTTCCCCAGTTAAAGGTTCGCAGGATCAGACTTGAGTTGAAGGGACCTTAAAGCTCATCCAGTTCCAACCCCGTTGCCGTGAGCAGAGACACCTTCCACTAGACCAGGTTTAAAAACCACACAGCAAAGCAGCTGGAAAGAGTCAGTTTGTGGCTTTTAGCCCATCACTGATGCTCATGGCATCACTTGCAGTGGTCCAGCAGCATCCCCTCCTCCCTGCCTCAGTTTGTCTACCTGTGAGAAACGAACTGCTTCCTCTGTCAGTGCCTTTGAGAGCTCCTCAGGAAAGCTCTGGGGCAGAGGTTGGTCTTGTTGGTTAAGTGCTTGCTATGATTACAGCAGGGATTAGTTTGACCTGGTGGTTTGTTTAGGTTTGCCTTAACCACCCAGCTCGCAATCAGAGCGCTGTGAAGCCGGTGAGCTAATGCTGACCTGTAGCACTTCACCTCCTGACTTCCCAGTGGGCCATTAGCCATAACCTGGCTTTTCATTAGGGCTCGTTGTTGTGGAGTCATCGAAGGATTGGGGATGTGCTCAGCCCCACTCGGGTTATTCACTGGAAGGTGTAAAGAAGGAGCTGGGGTCATTCTTGTGGCATTCCCATTCCTGGCTCTTTCCGTGTGCCTGTGTACAGCCCCATTCCCTTTTGATTTTGGAAGCTGTTGTATTGTTAAATAAACACCCACCAGTTCCCTTCATGTAGAATGGGGAAAGCAGGTATTCTCTCCTTTGCTTTAGGTGAAGGGGGTTTTGTTTGATGTATATATGTACATAGTGTATATATGCACTATCGTACACTGGTATATTGCAGTGTCAGAAGGACAAGGAGGGACACAAGAGGGACGTGGAGCTGTTGGAGCGAGGCCAGAGGAGGCCATGGAGATGCTGCGAGGGCTGGAGCAGCTCTGCTCTGGAGCCAGGCTGAGAGAGCTGGGCTGGGGCAGCCTGGACAAGAGAAGGCTCCTGAAGGGGAGACCTGAGAGCAGCTCCAGTGCCTAAAGGGGCTGCAGGAAAGCTGGAGAGAGGCTTGGGACAAGGGCCTGGAGGGACAGGCCAAGGGGAATGGCTTGAACCTGCCAGAGGGGAGACTGAGATGAGCTCTTAGGCAGAAGCTCTTCCCTGGGAGGGTGCTGAGGCGCTGGCACAGGGTGCCCAGAGAAGCTGTGGCTGCCCCATCCCTGGCAGTGTTCAAGGCCAGGTTGGACACAGGGGCTTGGAGCAAGCTGGAACTGGATGAGCTTTCAGGTCCCTTCCACCACAAACCAGGCTGGGGTTCTATGAATACACATATCATAAAGAAATACGCATGTATGTAGACGTATGTACTTTATCTGCACCAGAGCAGCTCTTCTCCAGCCACCCCTTGAGGCTCTCCCAGCACTTCCCTGGTTCAGGGCTGTTTTCTCCCCTCTCATTCCCCAGCTTCATCTTTCTTCAGCAAACTCATTCCTTCTGCTGTGAGTGCTGCTGGTGGCCGGAGCAGTGGTGCTGCCTTCCCAGCCCTCCATGTTCAGGGCTCCTCTCCCCTTGATTTCATGCTCTGTGAGGACACACAGACCCGATGGACCAATGTGCAGGCAGAGAAGAGGGCAGAAACAGGGCACGATGCAGGCACCTGCCCACGTTCCTCACTCATGGCAGGTTCCTTTTATAGAGGAGCAAGTCAGCATCTTCCTGGAACGTGAGGCCAGGCTGAGAGAGCTGGGACTGTTGAGCCTGGGGAAGAGAAGGCCCAGGGAGACCTTGTCACCGTGTTCCAGTAGTTAAAGTGGGGCTACAAAGAAGACAGAGAGTCCCTTTGGACAAGGAGCCCCATGGGAAAGACAAGGGGTGATGGGCACAAGTTGCTCTTGGGGAGATTCCAACTGGACACAGGAGGGAAGATGTTTCACCATGAGAACAAGCATTGGAATCATCTCCCCAGGGAAGTGGTGGCTCCCCAGCGTTGGACACTGTTAAGACTGGGCTGGACAGGGTGCTGGGACATCCAGTGCAGGTGATGCTTTGCCTGGAAAGGTTGGACCAGATGGTGCTTGAGGTCTCTTCCAACCTGGGATTCATGTGAATGCTCCATCCCTGGCAGTGTTCAAGACCAGGTTGGACAAGGCCTTGGGTGCCATGGTTTAGTGTGAGGTGTCCCTGCCCACGGCCAGGAACTGGATGATCTTAAGGCCCTTTCCAACCCTAACTATTCTGTGATTCCCCCCTCGCACTGCAGAGAGGGTCCCATCCACTGGGGAAATCCTTCCTTGGGTGAGTGTTTCTGTGGTACCAACCCCCTTTTCTACAGGCAGCTCATCCCAGTCTCCATCCCAGGGCTGTGGTGGGTGCCCCAGGAGGACCATCTGCAATGCCGTGGCCGTGCAGAGAGCAACAGGGAGGCTTTTGTTCTGCACCAGAAACTTTTCATCCTTCTTTATGGCTCCTTTTTTATTTCTCTTGGCTGTGCTCTCACGAATCTGAAGCAGATTAAAATACAGATCCTCCTCCTCCCCCACTTCCAGAAAGGCCAAAAAAAGCCCAACCCCAAAGCTTGGCTGCTTCAACTCATCCCATTTCACTGGAGTCTGCTCAAGTTAACAGTTTCCTGCATCCTGGGCAGCACAACTGGAGTTTTTCCCCTCTCACATCCATGGGGTTTGCCATAACCCTCCTCGGCAGCATGAGGAAGGGAGGACGTGGACCAGGGTTGCTCTGATATGGGGCAGGTTACTGCACACAAGGCTTGGATGAATCTGGTGTGGGACTCGCTGGACCGGCACCGTGGGGGACAAAAGGGGGCAGAGTGCTGCGGTATGGCTGGCAGGTAGGGATGCATGGCTGCATTTGGGATGTCCTTTGGGGGCAGAATAATAGGTACCACTGGGAGAAGAAAGGAGGATGGGGTGTGTGGGCTGGAGCTTTGTTTCTCTGGATCAGTTGTTTGGTGGGGGTGGGATGGTTTGTAGCTGTGGTCGTGGGGACTGGTGGAAAAGCTGCATGGATCAGTTGGACATGACCATAAGGGGTTTCTCTTGGCTTCATGAGATGCTAAATGCAGCCTGGATCTTCCTTATCCATCGTCTGCTTTTGTGCTTGGTCTTCTGTGGTATCTCCCGGTGCAAGAGCTGGATTGAACCCCCTGCCTTTGGTAGGAAGAGCATCTCCGGTTGCAGGAGTTATAATGGGAAGGAAATCAATAGTCCAGTGCTGGTTGGTTGTGTTGCCTCTTCTCCAAGAATGTTTTCTCCTTCCTTGCACCTGAAGCTTTCCCACATGGAGCATCTCTGACCTTCTCTTGGAGTGGTTGAGGAGCTGGAGCCACCCAAACCTTGCCCAACACCAGTGACCATCAGCCCCAGCGCAGGCAGGGAGAGGCAGAGCCTCATCCTCCAGCCAAAACATCCTCCATGGATGAGTGTGCCAGAGGGGAGAGCCCCTGAACCGTGTCAAATCCCTTTGACCCAGCAGGGCATGGAAACCAAACCCAAGCCTATGAGCTGTGCATTAACCCTGCCAAGAGCTGGGAACAAAGGTTTCGGGGCTGGTTTGGGCTTTTCCTCCTTGATTTGCAAAGCAAACCAGGCTGGGCTGAGCAGAGCAAGCATTGGTGGAGGAGTGTGAGCTGCAGGGTGGTTGCTGGGCTATAAAACCCCATCCTACCAGTGCTGGCAGGGGGCTGTGCCGCGTCTCTGAGCTCCTGTAGCGTATCCCCGTTGAGCCGGGAGCGTCTGAACATGCGTGTTGGTCTCTGGAGGCTTTAATCAAATCCAGGCTTTCCCAGAAATCACCTCCGAACTTCCAGCGAGCCGAGGAATCCGAAAGCAGCCGGAGCGAGGAGGCTTCGGGCTGGGAATTCCGGGCTGGAATGGTGGAGATGCTGCCTTCGGCGAGGGGCGCGAGGAGGGTGCGGGCAAGGGGCTGAAAGGTGAGTGTGTCCCATCAGCAGGGATGTGAGAGATGCAGAGGGGATGGGAGAGGAGAGGAAGGAGCAGAAGGTTCAGCAGAAACAGGGTCTGAAGGGGGAAAGGAGATGCAGGAGGGAGGAGGCTGCTTGGAGCACTGGGGTGCTTGCAGGATGCTTTAGGTTTTGGTGTTGCTCCCCGGTATGGTTTGGGTTTAGAATCATCATGGAATGGGTTGGGTTGGAAGGGAGCTTAAAGCTCAATCCAGTTCCACAGCAGGGACACCTTCCACTAGAGCAGCTTGCTCCAAGCCCCTGTGTCCAAGCTGGCCTTGAACACTGCCAGGGATGGGGCAGCCACAGCTTCTCTGGGCACCCTGTGCCAGCGCCTCAGCACCCTCCTGGTAAAGACTGAAGCAGTGAGGTGCCACCTCCTCACCCCGTGTGCAAGTGGGAGAGGTGCAATTACTGCTCCCTGGAAAACCCCCTGCTCCAGGGGAGGGTTTTGTTATCCCTCAGTAATTGTATTTAGGAAACAGGGCTCAGGCTTCAGGTACTTTCCCTGCTGGTTGGGGAACTTCGGTGCGTGCCCCGTCCAGCCCTGTGCTGTGGGCAGGAAGGAGAACACGAGCCATAGCTCTTGAACTGCCTCTTCCAAGCTGGGGGTGAACTTTCTGCCTGGCCAGGGACGGTTGTGATCGTTCAGGGGTGAATGCTTCAAAGAAGGATCGCAAAAGGAAGGAGTCATGAAGGGAAGGGGGAAAGATGTGCTTGGCTTTGAGTGTTAACGTGGGGAGACAGAGACACCAGGTTGGTTTCTGCCTTACCCCTGAAGAGCACCCTGTGAGGGTGATGGTAACGTATTCACATCCTGCGCAGTGCATCCTAAAAGCCATGAGAGAGGGGATCCATTGCAATCCTTATTCCAGGCAGCTGCTCCTGGTTTAGTTGGGTCTCTCCAAGGGGAGGGAGGGTTTGGTGCGAGCAGTGGTGCGTGGACAGCTCAAATCATTGCATCTCCTTCGGGGCTTTGCTGGGGGGAAGCAGCTTTGGGGTTGGGCTGAGGAATAGAGCTGGAACCTGCAAAAATTCCCTGGAAAAACCCAAACCAAGTCTCTTCTATGGCTCCTGTAATTCCTTGGCAGCGCTGCGGAGTGGATGGGAATGTCGTCGTCGTTCTCTCTGTGTGGAGCGTGTTGAACCCGTGCCGGTTCGTGTCTGTGCTCCATGCTGTGGGAGGGGAGATTTCTATGGAAGGAGGAATCAGTTTGGAAAGCACAGGAAGGGAAAGGAAGGAAAACCTGCTTTGCTGCGAGGTTTTTCTGGCTGCTTCCAGTGTTTCGGTCTAAGTAATGAGGGGCTTGGGGGACACTGGCTGCAGCTGGAGGCAGATCCCCGCCGTCCGTCTGTTGTGGTGTTTAACTTGAAGGATGATGTGTGTAGGGACGAGGGGAAAATAGCTGGAGGAGAAACTCCCAGCGGGAGGAGAAGAATCCCAGCCCTGGCTGATGCAGCCCTGCTTTGTTTTCAGTGGTGTGAGCCCGGAGCTCAGTTTTGGGCACCCCAGGGGGGACGAGCAAGGAGGCAGCGCTGCTCAGTGCCTTCTCCTTCCCCCATGCTCCCTTTAGGGGGACCATTGGTGTCCAAAGGGCATCCCCATGCTGCTAAAGGAGCCTCCTGTCCATGTGTTTTCTCCCGCAGCCTACCCATGAGCTCGGACTTCCAGCATTACAGTTTCAGGATGCCGAACATCGGGTTCCAGAACCTGCCTCTCAACATCTACATCGTGGTTTTCGGCACGGCCATCTTCGTCTTCATCCTCAGTTTGCTCTTCTGTTGCTACTTGATCAGGTAAGGGAGCGTTCCCCAGCTGCATTCAGGAGCTGCCCTGGTTCAGAATGAGCCTGTTGCTCGTCCCTCCATGCCCAAAAGAGGATGGCATCGCCTTGGCTTTCCGTAACGTGCCTTGTGCCAACCTGATGCGATCCCTGAAGTGGTTTAACTTGGCCTCATCACCAGTGGGTTTGCTCAGCCATGTAGTGGGAGAGCAAATGTTTATCCCTAACAGAGCCAGTGTGCACAGTGTGTACACAGTGAGTACTGAAACCCACTTCCCCAGTGCGTCTCAGAGCTCCCAATCACACAGGCAATTCCCTTCTCCACTTTAAAACCAGGATGTATTTGTCTGTAGGGTCCTAAAGGCATGAATATTGAGGGGCTGGAGCGGGGCCAGAGAAGGGCACTGGAGCTGGTGCAGGGCCTGGAGCACAAGTGTGATGGGGAAGGGCTGAGGGACCTGGGGGTTTCAGTGTGGAGAAGAGAAGGCTCAGGGGGGACCTGATGGCTCCCTACAAGTGCCTGACAGGAGGATGGAGCCAGGAGGCGCTGGGCTCTGCTCCCAAGGAACAAGGGATGGGACAAGAGGAACCGGCCTCAAGCTGCCCCAGGGCAGGTTTAGATGGAGCTGAGGAACAATTCCTGCCCCAGAGGGTGCTCAGGCATTGGAACAGGCTGCCCAGGGCAGGGCTGCAGGCACCGTCCCTGCAAGTGTTCACACCCCGTGGAGACGAGGCCTCGGTGCCATGGGGCAGTGGCGCCCTTGGCAGTGCTGGGCAATGGTTGGACTGGGTGAGTTTAAAGGTCTTTCCCAACCCAGTTGATTCCATGACTCTCTGCAAACACAGTCGGCAGCTCAGAAAGGCTGGAAAAGGATGTTTTGTGGTTCCATTTCTGCTTAATGTTTCAACAGGTTGTCCTCTTTAATGAGTAACTCGTGTCCTGTGTGCGTAAGGAATGTTTAATGCCCGTCAGGTTGGTTATGGGACACAAATTGCTCGTTCAACAGCACAGTTTAGAGATTAATGATGCAGGGTTGAGGCGTTAATCTGCACAACGGGGAGCAGGAGGCGGGGGGGTAAAGGTTGATCCCGTTTGGGGCTTGTGTTAATTGGTTTATGGGCCACTGGGGAGGGAATTGGGCCACTGATTGAGAGGAGAAAGTCTTCCTGCTGCAGGGGAGTGGGGAAAAGCACAGTGCCTGGGAACTGTGGCAGCAAGCTGTGCTGATAGCCCTCTTGTAGAAGAGCTTTTCCATCCTCTTTCCACCCCCTTTGGCTTTTCAGATGGCCTCAGCTCCCTGCTAGCCACGCAGCCATCCCATCCCCTCCCTCTGTCCCCAGAACACAGGCGCCTGGTCCCTTGTCCATCACAGAGGAAGAAGGTTTTCGCTAAGGTTTTTTTATCCAGAGGCTTTTGTCCTGCATTTGTAGAGCAGGGAAGCAGGATTTCAGTGTCTCCCTCTGAATATTTGATCGTTTCCATCTATTTTTCAGCTCTGTATGAAGCAAAACCTCATAAAGCTTGCAGGTGAGCCCAAAGCCAGGGTTACCCAGCAGTTATTTGTGCTGCCTGGGCATCAATCCTCCCTTTTGCCTGCAGTTAGGAGTAAGAGAATGGTGTTTGAAGGTGGACACATCTGTCCACCCCAGCAGATAAGGCAGAAGCAGATCAAGGGGTCACCCCAACCAGCTTGGTATCTCCATGCTCGATGTTAGCACAATCTGTGCTGGGATCCTGCATCCACATCCAGTGTTCCCATTATAACTGGGACACCAATGGGAGGGGGATGCATAAGGAGCAGACAAGCGGTGTTCAGAAGGTTCAGGGGTGTGTTTTGCCCAGATGAAGCTTGAATCTACACAGCTCACTTGGCAAATGGAGAGGTGGTTTGGGCTTTGAGGGCGTTCTCCTGGGCACCAGGCCTGGCTGGGTGTGTTCTGCCCCTAAGAAGAAGCAACAAGCGGTCATGTCTGTGGGATCAGGCCAGAAAACCTCACCTGAGTGCTGTGACCTCAATATTGAGACCTCACCTGGAGCATTGTGTGCAGTTCTGGGGTCCTCAACATAAAAAGGACATGGAACTGTTGGAACAAGTCCAGAGGAGGCCACGAGGATGATCAGGGACTGGAGCACCTCCTGTATGAAGACAGGCTGAGGAAGTTGGGGCTGTTCAGCCTGGAGAAGAGAAGGCTGCGTGGAGACCTCAGAGCAGCTTCCAGTATCTGAAGGGGGCCTATAGGGATGGTGGGGAGGGACTCTTCATTAGGGACTGTAGTGATAGGACAAGGGGTAACGGGTTCAAACTGAAACAGGGGAAGTTTAGATTGGATATAAGGAGGAAATTCTTTCCTGTGAGGGTGGTGAGGCACTGGAATGGGTTGCCCAGGGAGGTTGTGAATGCTCCATCCCTGGCAGTGTTCAAGGCCAGGTTGGACAGAGCCTTGAGTGCCATGGTTTAGTGTGAGGTGTCCCTGCCCATGGCAGGGGGTTGGAACTGGATGTTCTTAAGGTCCATTCCAACCCTAACTGTTCTGTGATTCTATGATTCTGTGAACCTTTACATTTAGCAGTGGGAGGCTTGTTGTAAGAGAGAGGGTGAGTAACCGGTGGAGCAAGCCAGCAAGGGAAGTGGCAAGTGCTCTGTCTCCTCATGTCTTTAAATGAAGACAGAGGGGCCTTGCTGGATGAGACGCTTTGGCTCCTGTTACTGAGGAGCTATTTAACGCGCTGTGATAGATGGGAGGTTGGATTAGATCATCTCACGAGCCCTTTATAGCACTTAACTCGAGAGGGACTTCATGAATTGCTCTGCAAACCCCTGCCCCCTGCTCTGCTATTGGCAAAACAGAGCCAAAGCAGCAGCCTCCAGCCCTTGTTTTGAAGGGGGTTTGCTGTGCCATGGGATTACCTGTGCTGGTGGCTCCACCTTGACAGTGCTCAAGGCCAGGTTGGATGGGTCTTGGTCCCATTGGACCAAGGGGAAGGTGGCCCTGCCCATTGCAGGGGGTTGGAACTGGAGGAGGTTTAAGGTCCCTTCCAACCCAAACCATTCTGTGATGCTATGATCTGTTTGGCAAACAACAAGTGGAGCTCATGGCACCATCCCCTGGGCCCTGGTTCTCATCGCCTGCGTGGGATCAGAGCATCCCATGCTCCCTCCTCGCACCCCCAGCTGGAGTGTGCAAGAACCAGCATCTGGTGTATTTACCTCTTTATCACAGAGCTGATGGCATTAAATAAAGGGTGTATCCGGGGAGGAGAGCACTTTGCTTCACAGCCACGTCCATAGAGAGTGCACTGCCCACTCGGATGGGAGGAAAGGTGATGGTTTTAATCCGGTTGGATCAAAATGGAATCCAGTAGGAATTGCAGCCAAAAGCAAAGCAAAGATCATCGCTGTCTGTGCAGTCCAGGTGGATCTTGAGCTCTTCTGCTGCTGGAAACCGCTCTGGTACAAAGCACAGGTCCTGTCCTCGTGCTCCCATCTCTGCCTGGAAAAGTTAACGGGAAAAAGGGGAGAAAGAGGAGCGGAAGTGCTGCAGGTGGCTGTTTGTGTCTGATCTCTGCTGGGGACAGGGGCTGTCCAGCCTGGAGAAGAGAAGGCTGCGTGGAGACCTCATAGCAGCTTCCAGTGTCTGAAGGGGGCTGCAAGGATGCTGGAGAGGGACTCTTCATTAGGGACTGCAGTGACAGGACAAGGGGTGATGGGTTCAAACTGAAACAGGGGAAGTTCAGGTTGGAGATAAGGCAGAAGCTCTTCCCTGTGAGGGTGCTGAGGCGCTGGCACAGGGTGCCCAGAGAAGCTGTGGCTGCCCCATCCCTGGCAGTGCTCAAGGCCAGGTTGGACACAGGGGCTTGGAGCAAGCTGCTCTAGTGGAAGGGGTCCCTGCCTGTGGCAGGGGTTGGAGCTGGAGGAGCTTTAAGGTCCCTTCCAACACAAACCAGGCTGGGATTCGATGAAACAAGCAGATCCTGGAGGTAAACCTGCCAAAGGGTTTCCTCCAGTTTATTCCTGTAGCTGTTCGCTTGATTTGGAGTCACTCAGGTAAGTGAGGTGCTCCCTTTCCTGTGGGAAGCATGGAAAGCTTGGGAAGAGAGCACAGACCCCACGGAAGGCCGTTACTGCATTCGTGGATGGGTGACGGTGCTCGTACACACGCAGTCTCCAGCCCTGCGCTGGTTTCTACGCCGCTGTGTGGTCCCTTATCTAAACCCGCATCTGCCAGACATTCCTCTGGAGTCACAGCTCCTGACACGAGATGGATGGAGCCCCGTGTCCAGCAGGGAATAACGCCTGCCAGCATCCGGGGTCTCATTACAACAGCTGTGTAAGGTCCAACTGGGATCCGACTGCCCCCGGATCCTGACTTGGGAAGGGGAGCATGGAAGGGCAGACGGAGCTCACACACTTCAGGACCAGATGTGCTCGTGCCCTTCCCCATAACCTTCAGGGAGGGGGTGATTTTGGCACATTCTCCCTGTGTACCTTGATCCCGTGGCATCCGAGCTGCATGGATCCGCGTCCAGATGCCACCACCACCACGTCTTGGCCTTGTTCTACACAACACATTCCCTCTGCTGGCTTTGCCTGTGATGCTCAGTGCTCCATAGGGCAGATTCCTTTTCCCATGCCGGCAGAGTTTCCCCCCTCCTATGCAGCCTCCAGCCCTGCAGCCTGCTTTGCCCCATCTGTCTTTCATAACCAGTTTCCCAGCCGCCGGCATCCCTGCGGATCGGGCTGGTTTCAGCCTGTTTGCTCCATTGTTCCTGCATCTTCTGCTCCCGTTGCTGCTCGGGGGCACTGGTGGAGGGATCCTGACCCCACTTTCATCCCCGGCTCTGCAGGCAGGTTCCCTGCCAGGCGGCAGCACTGGAGGAGCAGGGATGGCTCCCTGTGGAATGGGAGGCTCAGGAGCTGATTTATTGCATCTCTCTCGCAGTCCTTCCTCAACTTTGAAGGTCCAGGACCTTTTATGGGGGTGTTTGTGAGCACAAAAGGGATGTATTTTACATCCTGTTTTTTATGTAGCACCCACTGCAGCCTTGTGGGAGCTGGAAGCCTCGGAGAGCTCTGGGTGAAACAGGCAGGGGTTGAGCCAGCCCTGGAATAGCTTTTTGGGAAGTGAAACTACAGGCAAGGGAGTTTCCCAGCTGAAACCCCACTGGAGATGGGGACGACGCTGCTCTGGTTGTCCAAGCGCCGCAGACACTCGGGGACATCTGATGGAAAGCCCTTTGTGAGACTGCAGAGCACTTCACTAAATGGCACATCTTGAAATGAGGAGCAGTGTTAGGTGGGGGGTTTAAAGTGCTGATTTGAGGAGGATCAGCTTCTCCAGCCAGAGCGATCCGCCGGGATGTGGGAACTGGGCTGCTGTTGGGAGGGATGTTTTATTGATCATGGGATGACATGGGTTGGGTGGGAAGGGAGCTTAAAGTTCATCCAGCTCCAGCCCTTGCCACGGGCAGGGACCCCTTCCACTAGAGCAGCTTGCTCCAAGCCCCTGTGTCCAACCTGGCCTTGAACACTGCCAGGGATGGGGCAGCCACAGCTTCTCTGGGCACCCTGTGCCAGCGCCTCAGCACCCTCACAGGGAAGAGCTTCTGCCTAAGAGCTCATCTCAGTCTCCCCTCTGGCAGGTTCAAGCCATTCCCCTTGGCCTGTCCCTACATCCCTTGTCCCAAGCCCCTCTCCAGCTTTCCTGCAGCCCCTTCAGGCACTGGAGCTGCTCTCAGGTCTCCCCTTCAGGAGCCTTCTCTTGTCCAGGCTGCCCCAGCCCAGCTCTCTCAGCCTGGCTCCAGAGCAGAGCTGCTCCAGCCCTCGCAGCATCTCCATGGCCTCCTCTGGCCTCGCTCCCACAGCTCCACGTCCCTCTTGTGCTGCTGCCCCAGAGCTGGATCAGGACTGCAGGGGGGGTCTCCCCTTCACACAGCAGAGGGGCAGGATCCCCTCCCTGAGCTGCTGCTCACGCTCTGGGGGTGCACCCAGCACACGGGGGGGTTCTGGGCTCAAGCGCTCACTGAAGCCGGCTCATGGGGAGCTTCTCCTCACCCAACACCCCAAGTGCTGCTCCTCAGGGCTGCTCCATCCGGGCTCCATTCAGGCTGTGTTTGTGCTGGGATTGAGCTGAAAGCTGTGCAGGGATGTGATGTGTTCCTGCTGTTTTGCTCGGTCTCCCCATCCTTTAACACAGCACCCCCCTCCTGCTCTCCTGGTTAGGAAAAAGCCCCCAAGGTGAAGGCTTCTTTCCTTGTGGGTTTTGGCATCTCCTTGTCTCTGGCTATTGAATTACCCCTGGGATAGGAAGTGAGAGATGGAAGATGTCCTGGTGCTTCCCTTCCAAAGCTTTCTGTGCCGGTGTTGGGGTGAACACCATCCTTTGCTTGCTCAGCCACACGGATGACTCTTGTTGAATGCTTCTTCCTCGGTCTGGGGGGGGGCAGAAGCAGCTCAAGGGATCTTATAATGGAAGATAAAGCTGGGTTTGAGGAACCCAGCGTTGCCCAAGCATTGTGATGGGGGCTTCAGTGGGAAACCTCTGCGCAGGAAGGCCTCCTTCCCCCTTGGGTCTGAGGAAGAAGGTACCACATCCAGTGTAGGACCTGCTGGCAGCAGCGGTAGTTCAGTAGCAGGGATCTGTAGTAGGGATTTATGGCAGCTCCTGGTTTATTCAACAGCTCTTGCTGGTCTTACTGGTGGTAACTTGATGGTGCCTGCGTGGAAGATGAGGGAGGGCAGAGAGGAGCAGAGGAGGAGGTTGTGTGCTTCTGGATGGAGACGCTGCTCTCCCAGCTGCGGGGAGAGGTGGCTGCTGCCTGGATGCGTGGTTTCCCGTGGCCATTCTCAGCTCTGAAATGAAGAAAGAAGGGCATTAAATCAGGGAAGGAGGGAAATGAAACGCTGGAGGGGGTGCAGAAACCCTGTTTCCTTGCCCAATCTTCATGCTTCTCCTTGTTCTGATTGCAGGCTCAGACATCAAGCACACAAAGAGCTTTACGCCTACAAACAGGTGAGGTGATGCACAGTAAGTTCTCCTCTTCTCCTCAGTGCCAAATCCATGCTGAAGCAGTCACTCCATCAGCTTTCCTTCTGCTGTTCTTCTCCTTGGGAGGCCTTTGGCCATCAAAGGGAAGTCGCAATGTCCACGTAAACCTCTGTCCCCACTGATTTAGCGGGGACATCTCCCATTGTGAGCAATAACACCACTGCTTCCTCATGGCCAAACCATGTTGGGTCCAGATCTGCTCCTGGGGTTGGACCCGGCTGCTCTGATCCAGCCACGGGGCTCTCATAGGGATGTCTCAGTGGGAACATCACCTGGCTTTCCACACACACCGGTGCTAAAGGAACACGACCAAGAGGCTCGATGTCAGGATCCTGCTTCAATGCCCCATCCTCTCCAGGGCTTGTGGAATCTTTCTGCCTCCAGTCTGCTGTTCAAGCAGGAAACTGGATGGAGTTGGGCTGGATATGATATATGATATGATGAGATAGGATAGGATAACACATGATCATCCTAGATTTATAGCCCTCCCCAGGCATTTAGCCTGGATAGAGTGAAGCTGGAGCAGCCAATGTCCATGCAGGAGCTTGTGGCAGAGTGAGGAAGCACAAGAGGTTTAAATATGGGGGGGGGGGTTTGGTCCTTGGGGTGATGGTTACAGCTCTGCCTTCTTCCTGGCCCCCAGTGCTCCATGGCTGTGCTGAGTGTACTGGGGGGGTTCCAGTTAAACTGGGACAATCACCTGTGGAGGGTTTTCCTGTGCATACTCCTGGCAGAAGCTGCGTCCTGATGGAGTGCTCTGTGTTGCAGGTTATACTCAAGGAGAAGGTGAAGGAGCTGAACCTGCACGAGGTGAGTAGTGGCAAAGAGGCCTTCACCCTCCTCTTCCTCACACTGGGGCTGGAGGACAGGCGCAGGTAGGATGCAGCCAGTTCCCAGCACCCTCCTGCTCCCGGGTCCTTTCAGTTTTCACTGCATCCTTATGGCTTTAACCTGGCAGAGGGGAGATTGGGATGAGAGCAACAAGAGCCTGTCCCATGATTCCTCCTCACCCTCTGCTCCCCACAGCCGAGGAGCTGATTCCCAAGGGCAGGAGTTGCAGACAGGGACAGAACGGTCCTGGCTTGAGGCTCCTGTTTCTGATGCACTCCCCTTAACGTGACTTGCAGTGGGGTTTCTGCCAGCACTGGGGCTTGAAAGCACTTCCCGGGGTGAGAAGCTGACTGCAGGAGGGATTTGGGAATGTGGCTGGGAATGGCTGGGTTAAGCCTCCATCCTCTTCCATCCCCTTCATCCACAGCCCAGATGCTTTCAGAGCGGACGATGGGTCCATGGGGCAGGGGGCAGAGCAGCTCGAGCTCTTCCCTGGCATTTGGGAAAGGCTGGAAGAAGCGGTTTAGCTCCAGCTCCATGGAAAATATCCCTTTTTGGGCATTGGGATTTGGGATGTGCCGTGCTGGGAAGCAGAACAGGGGGGGGATTGAGCAACACCAGGGGCTGCTGCCAGCGCTCACAAGGAGCTGTGCGGAGGGGAAAGTGCTGCTGAGCGCCTCATCCCTGTGGATCTGGCTTTGGTTTTCCCCCTTTTCCCATCATCCGCCTCTCCCAGGGCTTCCTGGAGCTCCAGATGTGTGTGTTCCCTGGGGATTATCCCAGCCAATGGTGCTCTGGTGGCTGGAACGTATGGACAGGCGCCATGGCTCCCGTGGTGTTGGTGCCCGCCTGCTTCATCCCGAGGGATTTTGGCAGTGGAGCTGGCCATTGTTTGGGGATGAGGGAGACTCCCAAGCCAGGGGGGCTGGGACAAACAGCTGGGAATATCCCAAATCCCCAGGAATAGCCAAAATACATCAGGAAAATGCAGTGTAGGGGAACATTTCGGCTGGGATGACAGCCATTGACTTCTCCAGCGCTGGGATAGAGATGCACCCTTTGCCTTCTCAGCCCCGTTATCCCTATGGATGCAGCTCCATCCCGGGCACCAAGCAGCAGTGTGGCTTTTGTCCTCGTGCACCCAAAAGCCTCCTGGCACATCCCAGCCGTGTGCCTGTTGCTCCAGAGAGGCTCCAGAGTCCTTTCCATTGGGAAAGGCAGACCCAAGCCTCAGCCTGGGATCCCAGAGGTTGTGCAGTGAAGCCTGGGAAGGCTTTAGGGGGGTCTGGGTCAGGCTGGAGGGTTTGGAGCTCCAAAGGAGTGGGAATTCCCTATGGCAAAGGGGGGATTTTCCCTCCCCGCCCCCAGCACTGGCATCAGAACCCAAATTCCCCTTTTTTCCCCCAGGCAAAGGCAGAGATGAGGTGAGCACCGGGGCAGGAGGGGGGAAGTGGCCAAGGGGGAACTTCCAGTGCCTAAAGGGGCTGCAGGAAAGCTGGAGAGGGGCTTGGGACAAGGGATGTAGGGACAGGCCAAGGGGAATGGCTTGAACCTGCCCGAGGGGAGACTGAGATGAGCTCTTAGGCAGAAGCTCTTCCCTGGGAGGGTGCTGAGGCGCTGGCACAGGGTGCCCAGAGAAGCTGCGGCTGCCCCATCCCTGGCAGTGTTCAAGGCCAGGTTGGACACAGGGGCTTGGAGCAAGCTGCTCCAGTGGAAGGGGTCCCTGCCCGTGGCAGGGGTTGGAGCTGGAGGAGCTTTAAGGTCCCTTCCAACCCAAACCAGGCTGGGTTTAGGTCAGTTTGGGGGTGTCCCTGTGGTTTCCATGTGCACAAAACCACTTCCCATGCCCTGACCGCTCCTCTCTGCTTCCCCCCTCTCAGATCTGTGCCGTGTGCCTGGAGGAGTTCAAGCCCAAGGACGAGCTGGGGATCTGTCCCTGCAAACATGCCTTCCACAGGAAGTGAGTGCTGCCCTGCATCCTGCCTGGGAGCACTGGAAAGGCCCTTGCCTCGGGGCTCCTGGTGCTGCTGCTCCTCAGTCCGGCTTTAGCCCAGCCTAATCCCAATCCCAGGGGGAAAGAATGGGAATTGGAATGAATTTGAGCATTTGGAGCAGCGATGGTCAAGTTGTGAGCTGGCAAAACCACTTATATATAGATATATACATGTATCTATATATACACACACACATATTATATTAATTATATATTGTTATATTGATATTATATTCCAAAACATGGAACTAGATGATCTGAAGGTCCTTTTGACCCCAAACCGTTCGAAGATTCTAGGTATGTCCATCCTTATGTGTGTATATTCATATTTACATGTATAATTCAGTATCTATGGATAAAATGCCCATTTATAGGCATTGCAGCTCGCTGGGAAACAAGGCCCCAAAGCTGCTTGTGTCTGAGGAGTGTTTGGACATCCCCCTTGGATGAGGGCTTGGACTTGGGCTGAGCTGGGAGTTGGTCTTGGTGGTCCTCATGAGGCTTTGATTCTATGAAATATGTATATATACATATGTAAATAAATGTGTATATACATCTATATCTATATATACTTAACATATGTTTATGTATACATATATAAATTCATGTATGTATATATAAATATATATAGAAGTTTCATATGTATATGAATTTCATGTAAATCTGTTCAGCCTGGACAAGAGAAGGCTCCTGAAGGGGAGACCTGAGAGCAGCTCCAGTGCCTGAAGGGGCTGCAGGAAAGCTGGAGAGGGGCTTGGGACAAGGGATGTAGGGACACAGGCCAAGGGGAATGGCTTGGACCTGCCCGAGGGGAGACTGAGATGAGCTCTTAGGCAGAAATGGGGCTGGAATGGGATGAGCTTTAAGCTCCCTTCCAACCCACACCGCGCTCAGTCCATGAATACTCCTTGTATCTACACACACACAAAGGCCCGATAAAGGCACTAAAAGGGGGTGTCAGGGCCCAGCACTGCTGTGTTGGGGTCCCAGCTGTGGGTTTCCCATGTCTAGCACCCCATAACCTCCTTTCCCCTGTGTTTCCCCCCCACAGGTGCCTCATCAAGTGGCTGGAGGTGCGCAAGGTCTGCCCGCTCTGCAACATGCCAGTGCTGCAGCTGGCGCAGCTGCACAAGCAGCAGGACCCCGGCCCCCCCCAGGGCCCCCTGCCCGGGGCAGAGAACATTGTATAGCTCCAGCATCCCATGGACCGCCCCATGGCCATGCCCCCCAGCCCGGGCACACTGGGACAGCTGGAGCACTGAGGGACAGGCAGGGACACGGGGGACCCGGAGCACTTTAGTGCGGGGCAGGTACCTGCTGGGTGATGCCCCATCGCTGCCTCCATGGAGCTGTGCTGGGATGGAGCCTCTCGAGCCTGAGCTTGATTCCTCATTCCCGGGGTGAGGAGGGGATCTGGGGTCCTTGTTGGGTGCCTGCACTTCAGCCTTCTTCCAGCACATCCCTTCTCCTGCACGATATCCATTGGGAAGTGATACGGAGCAGCATCGAGCCATCCCACAGCCTCCTGTGGCAACGGGATGTCCCCCTCCGACAGAGAGGCCTGGCTAATGCCAACCTCCTACACACCATGGGATTGGAGATCAGCTCCCAGCTGTCATCCGATGGGAATTCCAGGGGTTCCGGCTGGTTCACTTCCCAGCCCTGCACCCATCCATGGCACCCAGATACACTTGGGGACCTCAGAGCATCTCAGCCGTTCTCCTCTGCACGGGGTTACCTTTGCCGTTGCGATTCCGATGTAGAAGATGGGATCTCGGCATTCCAGGCACCCTGATCCCGGGATTCGGAGCCACCTCGGCACCCTCTGCCCCTCCAAAAGGGCTTATCCGGGCTGGAGGAGCCGGTGTCACCCATGGAAGATGCCATCAGCCCCTCCTCGGCACAATGGGCTACCTCACCCTGCGATGGGCGCTGTCCTGCTCTGATCCATGGAACCATGGGAAGGGCAGCAAATCCCATCCTTGGGATTCATCCATCCCGTTCCACTGGGTCTGGGTGAGCGACACGGGATGTGGGAGTGGTTTCCTTGCCAAAACCCCCCAAATCCAACCCAATTTGGGGGTGGCGACCACCTCACGGGGTGTATTTGGGCACGGCAGCTCCCACCTCCACCTCCACAGCTCTTCTTCTTGGAGGGGAGGGGGGCATCTCAGTATTCCCAGGCACGGGGCTGGGATTAAATCCCCTGGGATTCCCCCCGCCTGTTTATGGAGCGTTGGAGCCTCATAGACGTGTTTGTACACTATGGATTCTGCAGCAGAATATTTCTGTCTCTGGTTTTGTTGGTGGGGTTTTTTTTGTAAGCTCTATTTTTGTATATTTAAGGCTATTTTCAACTCCCAACTGAGGCGATTTTTGCTATTCCCGCTCTTGGGAAGGGAAGGAAGGGGAAAAAAAAACCCTGGAAAAGGCCAATGGTTTGCATGGGAGTTGACTTGGAATGTAAATAAAAAGCAGGTTTTGGAAGCGGGGGTGTGTTTGGAGGGGGAGCTGCCCATGGGATACCCATGGACATCCCTCCGTGCTCAGCCCTATGGCACCAATGGATGTGCCACCCCACTTGGGACTTCCCGCAGGGAAAGGGCCTCAAAACTGGGCTGGTTTGGGGAAAGGCAGGGGGGTTCCCTTTGTGTTTCCCAGCTGGATGAGGGAATTCCCAATGGTTCCTGGCCCCACGTGCACTGGAATTCCCTGGCCCAGGGGGGTTTTGGAGGTTGTCCCACTCAGGAAGAGGTTTCTCTTCTGACCAACCTGACACAGCCTGGCTGTGGGCAGTGAGGGCTGGCTAATGCCAACCTCCCACCAGTCAGGGGATTGGAGATAGGCTCCCAGCCTCCATCCTATGGGAATGCCAGCGATTCCAGCTCCAAATCCCATCTCAACTCCCCCTGCTCTTCATCAGCTGGAAAATGAGTGGAAAAAGACCCTTTTCCTCCTCTTCAGACCCCATTTGGATGCTCAGCTGTGGCCACCAGGACAAGGCTGATGTGGAGGCACTGGAGCTCCCATTCTCTGTCCCGTTTCCTCTCCCTGCCCAGCGCAGGGGGCTGCTGCCCTCTAGTGCTGCCTGGGGCAGCTCCACATGGAGGAGTCCTGTGGCACCTTCTCCATGAGGAAGCCCAGAGGGACCGACCTGCTCCACTCTGAGGCTGCTTCTGGAAGCTCCACAGTCGAGGCCATGAGGAGCTCGTAGGGGAAGCTTCCAGCTGCTGGGACAAAGCAGCAGAGGGTCTGACCCAGCCATGGCCGGATGGAGCACCAACATCATGGAATCAGGAACAGGTTTGGGTTAGAAGTGGCCTTAAAGCTCATCCAGTTCCAAGCCCCTGCCATGGGCAGGGGCACCTTCCACTAGGGCAGGTTGCTCCAAGCCCCATCCAACCTGGGTAAGAGCAGCTCCAGTGCCTAAAGGGGCTGCAGGAAAGCTGGAGAGGGGCTTTGGACAAGGGCCTGGAGGGCCAGGCCAAGGGGAATGGCTTGAACCTGCCAGAGGGGAGACTGAGATGAGCTCTTAGGCAGAAGCTCTTCCCTGGGAGGGTGCTGAGGCGCTGGCACAGGGTGCCCAGAGAAGCTGTGGCTGCCCCATCCCTGGCAGTGTTCAAGGCTGGGTTGGATGGGTCTTGCAGCAACCTGCTCTAGTGGATGATACTGAGGTCCCTTCCAAACCATTCCATGATTCTATGATCCCAAGCCTGGGAAGAATTCCTGGCAGAAAGGTTGGATCACAGATTACAGACCGTGCACAGGCCGCTTTGCTCATTTAAGCTGCTCTCCACTCTCAGCATCACAGTTGTTCCAAGAGCCTTTATTCAGTACGATCTGCATCCCGAGGTGTGTGATCCGCAGGGATCTTGCACTCAGCTCCGTGTTGCAGGCTGCGGGCACAGAGGGAGCAGAGCAGTGCAGCATGTGTATGGGAAGCAGAGAGGATTCCCCCCCGAAGCTACAACACTGCAGCAATCCGTACAGGTAAAAGGGAGATTCCCGAGCAGATCCCAAGTGTCCAAGTGAAATCCAGGAGCTCTTTGGTATAGTTCTATGCAGCAGAGTTGTACAACAGAGCAAGGATATAAACCAAGCAAACACACAACATCAAACCCCACTGTTTCAACCTCATGTTCGATTTAGCAACGTCCAGGTCAGAGGTTGAGACCTTCCAGCACATCCCAAAGGGCGCTGTGGTCTGTATGGAAGCGTTGGAGGGTAAAATGGGAATGAACCTGTGACACAGGATTCCTGCCTCACCTTTGGTCTCCAGTGTCCAGGTAAGAAAGGGTTGTAACAGGACTGAAGCCCCTGTGGAGAGCACAGCAGCATTCCAACAGTTCAGAGGACAGAGATTCCAGCCGTATGGATTTGGGATGCGGGGCTCTGTCCCCTGGACACACAACGTACCAAGGACATGACACCTTTCATGTGGAGGACACAGAATGCTGCAGGCTGAGCTCTGGGAGCATGAACCCAGCATATGCTTCACTCACAGGGATCCTGATGGATTCCTGCTGTTCCATCCCACAAAACACAGAGGCTACATGGAAAGGGGGATGTGATGTGAGTGCTAAAGGTCAACCACCACGCTCAGCAGTGCGGCTGCACGTCCTCCTCCTCAACCAACCTGCTTGTCGCTGAGGATGGGGTTCACACAGACACCAACACAAGAGTCCTTCCCTTTGCTTCCAATGAAATGGGGTGACCCAGGAAGCGCCCCGACTTCATAGATCCAATGTCAGGAATCTGCGCAGAGTCAAGGGGAATCCAGGAGCTCCAGCAGAGCCCCGACTGCACCAAAATAACCCTGAGGAGCAGAGAGGACAAGCCATGAGAGACTCAGATGTGGGCAGACCCTGGTGCAAGGACAATGTGACACAAAGGGTGTGATTGTAACAGCTTATAAAGGATAGTGGAAAGAAAGAACTTGGGTTGGGTTTGGGCTTGGTACCAGGGGGATACAAGGGTGGCTTCCATGAGAAGCTGCCAGAAGCTTCACTAATGTCTTATGGAGCCAATGCAGCTGGATCCAAGGCAGACCCACTGCTGGCCAAGGCTGAGCCCGTCAATTATGGTGGCAGCTCCTCTGGGATAAGGGATTTGAGAAGGAAAAATGCCCTGTGCAGCTGTAGCTGGAGAGAGGAGAACATGCAGAGGAGCAGCCCTGCAGAGCCCAAGGGCAGTGCAGAAGGAGGCAGGACGTGCTCCAGGCACCAGAGCAGAGATTCTCTTTGCAGCCTGTGGTGCAGCCCATGGGGAAGCATCATGCTGGGACCCTGCCTGCAGCCCCATGCCAGAGCCCAAAGGAGGCTGTGATCCCATGGGAAGCTCACGCTGTGGCCCTATGCAAAGAGGAGCCCACAGTAGAGCAGGTTTGCTGGCAGGGACTTGTGACCCTGCAGAGGATCCATGCTGTTCCTGAAGGGCTGCACCCCATGGGAGGGACCCATGCAGGAGCAGTTCATGAAGAACTGCAGCCCATTGGACACCCATTGGAGAAGTCCCTGGAGGGCCGTGTCCTGTGGGAGGGTCTCCATGCTGGAGCAGAGGAGGAGTGCGAGGATCCTCCCCTGAGGAGGAAGGAGCAGCACAGACAGGGTGTGATGAACTGACCACAACCCCATTCCCTGTTCCCCTGCACTACTGCGGGGAGGAGGTGGAGAACTGGGGAGTGAAGTTGAGCCCAGGAAGAAGGGGAGGAGGGGGAAGTGTTAAGGTTTGATTTCTCGTTACCCTGCTCTGATTTGATTGGGAACAAACTCATTTCCCCAGTTGCAGTCTGTTTGCCCATGATGGTAACTGGTGAGTGAGCTCTCCCTGCCCTTATTTAGACCCAGGAGCCTTTAGTTGTATGTTCTCTCTCCTCTCCCCATCCAGCTGAGGAGAGCAGTGACAGTGATTCTGGGGAGCTTCTGGTGTCCAGCCAGGGTCAATTCACCACAAAGCTACAAGTGGGTGCATTAGAAAACAGACTGTAACTATCATTGCTGCAGTGGAACACAGAGCTGCATGCAATCCTCCTGCTGTCATAGAGAATCACAGCATGGTTTGGGTTGGGAAGGACCTTAAGATCATTCAGTTCCAACCCCCTGCTATGGGCAGGGACACCTCATGGTCTTAAAGTTCACAAGTGAGATGCAATTAGTAGTAAATAGCTACTGAAACAATACCTGTGATTCTTCTGACCCTGCACTGGCACTGCACTCAGAACCCACTGCACAATGTGTATGCACACGTACAGACTGCGGTAACACAGCAGTAGGAACTACTGCACAACGTGGATCAACAGGTACAGACTCCACGTGGCTCTTCCCAGAGCGTGTAAAGGATGTGCATTTTGCCCCAAGAGAGATGTAAAGGGTGATTTCACCTCATGCTCCAAGAAGAGTGCTTTCAACTGTCCCTTCGACCAGTAATCCAAAGCATAGGCCAGGAGCCTCATGGAGATGGTATTGATCCGAAGGAAGTTGCCAACAAACACCACTCGATTGATGTTCTGCAAGTAGGAAGGAAACAGCAGGAACATTAAGGGTAAATCTCACTTTCTGCTTGTCATGATGAAACCCCCACCTTAGAGTAAGAATAAAGTTACACTTATAGTGCCTTTGAAACACCATATGCAGAGGAGAGGGGGAAAATCCCCTTCTTGACCTGCTGCTCATGCTCTGGGAGTGCAGCCTTCTATGGATGTTCCTTCCATCCCACATTTCCTAACACCTCCCCCTAACTACTCAGCATCCTCTCTGCACTCAGCTGCCTACTTGAAAGTGAGGACTCAGCAGATGTATTGTGAGCAAGGCTAATATCTTGCCTGGTGCCTGCAGTAAATGAAGGTAACAGCAACAGGAGTCAGGAGGATGCTTCCCCCCGTTAGCTCATCCCATCGGAACAGGCTCCAAATGGAGTGGAGAGCATGTCTCTGCTCTTTCATAGCCCTGTACAATGCTGCTTGACATGAATGCAACAAGGCAGCACTGTAAAGAAGCTGAAAGCACAAAGATA